TTGAACTTTTCATTGAATATTTGTTTCCTCGAGAATTACCAAACCATACATCGTACCTGCAATAAATAAATAATGGTTATAAGGTATTCTAAGTTCAAAACAAATATTCTTGGGAAATAGTTGTTATAAATATTAAATATCACCCACTTACCCAGCATCAGCCAGCAAACAAGCTAACCTATTCTCGTATTCGTAATTACAAACCCAAATCTCGCTGCAAGTCATTAATCCATGATATAATAACACTACAGGTTTGGTATATCCTGCATTTTGTTGTGTGGCTGATTTTGAACTAGGTGCTTCTGTCCTACGCGTGTTTTTAGACTGCTTCTGAGATTTTGATTCGCGATGACCGGTTGGGGAAAATGATCTCGAATTTTTAGAACTGCCGTCAGATTTTGATCGTCCAAACTTTTTTGTACTGGTTTTCGTATTTCTCGAAGACGACGACATTCCAGCGTTACTATCGCCTGTAAAAGTTTCATCTTCAGAGTGATGTCGAATAGCCAACAAAGGAACCCCGCACCGTTTAAATACAGATTCAACGTTCTCTGGATTTTGAGTTGGTGGCCACCCATCATCTTCGTGACGAAAGCCACTCATTTTATCTCGACGTGTCCGTTCATTGGGTTTGGTTTGAATGCTGCCTTCATTTACCGGGATGTTGCGCCCATTAGGAATTCTCTGGATGCCCAACAAATAATGATCCTGAGTTTTTACAATATGCTCTTCTACCGGGTAATCTCCCCTAATTGAAAATTTCTGATAAATCAGACGTAAATATCAAAAATACCATAAAAATAAAAAATGACTTACCAATATTTTACCAATTCTTTAAAGCTTTCTGCATGTTGAAGTAACTTAACATGGTGTGTACGTTCATCTTTAAAAATCATCGAAAATAATCTGTAAAAATCAAATCAAATCAAGTATAGGAATCAATTGCGATGTTATTATTGAATAATAGATTTGTCAATTGGCATTTATGAACTTTCAGTGTAATCGATCACCTTTGACTTTCATTTCTGAAATACTGTTCAATGGAACGTGGTAACCAAAAGGTAGCAAATCTCAGTAAACTCTCTAAGAATAAAAATATCAAACCGATGATTAACGCTTGATATTCTGAAATTCTCAGACGGCCAATAATTGGGACCTCCATGGTTTATTGAATTTTGGTTTGAGGTAGAATAAATGAAAAGATTAAGGGTGAATTCGAAATGGAATCTTCTTTCCGGTTTAATGAGAATGGTGTAGAACAATAATAAACAAAAAAATATAAGGTTTGATAACTAGGAATTTAGCATCAAGAAATAACAGATAATGCAGAATATGATCTTTCCAATTTCTACAAAATCAAGATAAAGATGTACCAATATATTTTCTATAAGAAGGTATTCGCACTTGAAAATGGGTATAGCAATTTACTAATCGGTCTGGACACGTATTAGTGGGGATTATAGAGTGCATCTATGAAATTTACAGTATATTGCTACAATGTTGGTACGTGAATAAACCAACTTATTTTGTTTTGATCTAATAAAAGATAACGATAATTAAGCTCCGATCTGAATCCTCTTGCAGATGATTTTAAATTATCTCGCAGTACACATTTTATAAGCCATTTATATCATATGAACACTTGTGTCAATCAAAGGCGCGGGGTTTTGGTTTGACGAACAGATCACACGGCGTAATTAGAGGCGGGTATATACTTTTTAGGAATATAATAAATTGATCGTGTATTCTATCGTTATGGTGAGAAAAACCTGAATCCATCAGGTGGAGTCAAAAATTCTTTGAAAAAGGCTTGATCTATTTTGACCACGTGGTTCTACTCGGATTTATATTTGTTTTGGCATTACAAACTAAAGTTCAGACAACTGACTTGATTTTTATTTATTTATTTATTTATTATTGTAGGTAAACAGGCCTTCAATGCCATGGCTTAATTAAATCCTAACAACTTTGTTTATTTAAATTAGGATATACTGTATATACAGTATATTAATATGTACAAATTATTGAGATTTAATATCTTGTAAAATATAAATTTACAGTGTATAACAAACCTTTTTGAGATTTTTTTATTAAAAAGATATAATATCATATTTAATATTAAATAATTTTTAAGTTTATTGTATTTAAATTTATGAAGTTATAGAATTTTATATTTTATTTTTGATATAAAAAAAAAAGTTTTAAAATTCAAAAATTTACAAATTAAAAATTATTAAAAAAAAAATCTATGTCAAATGAAAAAAATAAATAAAATTTTTATTTATAATTGATTTTTAATACTCAGAAATTTTAATTTTAAAATTTAATTTTAAAAAACATTTTTATATAAAATTTATATTATTATAATCTTTAGATCTTAAGCTTTATTTTAATATATTATTTATTAATTTTTATACAATAATTTTTAAATAACAAATAAATAAAAAACTTTGTCATATATTGTATATTTTATATTTTATTAAATTTATGAATTTTTTTATTATTATTAAAATAATAAAATATTATCAATTAATTGATTTTTTTGTTTAAATTTAAATCTATATAATTATAAAAATAAATTTTTTAATAAGAAAATTAATAAGTATTATTAAAAAATAAATATATTAATATTATATAAATTTTTAAATAATAATTATAAAAAACTTTTTTATATATAACTTTTTTCTTAAAAATTTCTTTTTATAAAAATTTTTCTTTAAAATTAATATATATATATATTTATCTTTTAATATCTAAAAATCCTTCACACATCAGGGAGTTGCATTCCGTAATCTGGTAGCTTAAGCCAGTGCTCCTCTACTACTGCTGGAGTCACGCCCAGCTATCAAAAAGAAAGCAGTAACCTAGGTAGACACATTTGGTTTGTACCTTGCAGGAGGGATTGTTGGTTCAAAGATAATATGCTCCTAAATCCTAAACACATCACCATTATAACTTTCTACTCTCCATAAATCATTAACTATATCTCTTATTTATAATTAAGCAGTATATAGTCCATCCTAAATGCTACCAATATTCTTCTCCTAAATCAAACTTCTATCATTCTTTTTTACAATTGGCGATCTTGCCCAAAATGTTTTTTTTTATTTTTTATTTTTTCGTAGCAGATAGTTTCTTAGGTTTTTCTTTCTAAGTTTTTTCCAATGATATATCTGCTCATGGTGGCAGGTCAATATGTATTATCATATACTTCATACTTTATTGATTTTGTATATAATGTATTACATTTACTACATATAATTAATAAAGCCTTGAAAAAGACCTTACTTAGCATTTAAAAAAAAAAGATTTGATATAATCTAATTAATAAAGTATTTTGATATGAATGCATTTATTAATATGTTTTGTTAATATGATCTGATTAATAGAGTATTTTAATATGGACATATTTGTTGACATGTTTTATTAATATAATTTATTGTTAAGTTTTGAATCTGATATATATAAATTTTGTTTGTTTGATATGTATAGATTTTGTTTACTTGTTATTGTTATAAATATCTTTTTGAGAGATGTGTTCATAATATATTGATTTTGGAGAAAGTAAGCTAATTTTGGTTTTTATGAATTGTTATATATATGATATGATTTTTTTTTTATTTTTATAAAGATAATGAGAAGTTTGACATTTTTTTAGTTCAAAAAAGATAATAAGATTGTTTGATTTATCAGATGAGACTTGGTCGTTCTTGAATTTCTACAATATTTAAAAAAAGTGTTTAATCTAGAAATTACTAGCTATAGTAATAATAGAAATGCTGATTTTTTAAGATCTTAATGTAAATCAAGAAGCTTGGTTTTTATCTTTTTCTTTTACAAGAAGAAAATAAATTGAAGTTGTTTGCTTTTGTAATTTATTATTTTTTTTTTTTAATCCTGTAATCAGGTTGGTGTCATTTATTTATTAAATCATAAAGAACTGTTACATGCACGAGAATACATGCAAAATATAAATTTTCCCAACCCAACTCATTTGTCTTTAGCTGAAGCCTCTAGATACGATTTATGGAATGATATATTGTTCCCCTAAAAGATGGGATTAAGATCCCGAATTTCCAATAGGATCAGCACCTGCAGATCATCTCTACAGTCACGACCATAAATCCAAATTGTGTTACCCCCCTCTTATAGAAACTACGCAAGGAAAAAAAGGAATAAAAAAGGAATTTTTTGACAAAGAGAAAAGAAAAAAAGCTAACATCTATTCTAACTATCATTGAAAAGGTTATCTCAGTGAACTTAAAATCCATACCTCTCATAGATTTCCACTTCTCACCACTTGTGACCAGTTAGACTGTTTAATTTCCAATAGAGTAGTCAATGTTTAAGAACGTTTAAGGGCACTTCCAGGAGAGTATTTCTTGAAACTTTACACTTGAAAACTTCTAACCAGAAGAGATATTGGTTTTCTATTATGGTTCTGAAAATTGGAATCAAATAGAATTGAACAGAATCGCATGAGGTTTGAAACACTATTAAAAATGATGGTG